AAGTATTCTGCCTGCTTGAGGGCTCTGGGCCTGCAGCAGGAAGTCACCTCCTCTGCACTCACACCAAGGGCACTCTAGCCTTCTGCAGCTGAAACAGGACCCCAGCTCACCATGCAGGTCCCTGAGGACTGGGCCCACTGAGACAGACACCCACCAAGGTGAAGCCATGATGTAGAGAAAAATCACAGGCTTGGGGCCAAGAGACCTGTTTTCTATTCCTGGCCCTGCCATTAATAAGCTGGGTGACCTTGGGCAGGTCACTTTGTCTCCTTTCTCATATTGTAAAATGAGTTTGGACAGTGATAGTTAATTCTTGGACTTGAGAACTCCTCAGAATCACCTAGGAAGCTTGTTAAAGGACAGATTCTCAGGCCCTGCCCACAGGAACTGAGGTAGTAGGTCTGGACTGGAACTTAGATACATGCATATTTACATGATAGTGAATAAAAAATAAAATCATGATTAAAAATAAAAAAGTCATCAGAAATGCCCACATATGGTTAAAAATTCCATAATACACCGGGAGTTAATAAAAAGCAGTGCTACCCACCCCCGGTGGTGCTAACTACAGGCTTTTAATCATCTGTTTTTGATCTTCTACTTGTTTCCGTCTTATTGCTAAATTATAAGCTAGTTCTTGTATGAACTTCAAACTTTACCCACTGCCTTCCTGCAATGATAGAAGAGGATTTACTTCGCTGACTCCACCCTCACTCTCAACAAAGTTCCAGCACTATTTTGGGAAACTGCAGTTTAACAGCACCCCAGGTGATTCTGATGTAGGTGACCTGTCAACCACACTTAAAGAAGCACTTGCCTGGTGAGACTTGTTGGTAGAGACACTGAAGTTTCCTCAGCCCATCTCTTAAGCCCTTGGTTCTTCCGCTTGGCTTCTAGACTTCCTGATAGGCCCCTTTCCCCATCTCTGGAATCTCTGAAAGGCTGGACATGGGAGTCACATTAGCAACCACACTATTCTGGGTTTGTTGGGGGTGGAAGTGCCCTGCCATCTTGCTACCCCTTCTTATAACCTCTTGCCCCCCCTCCCCGCCAGCTGCATAATTAGGATGGGTAGATTTCTCCTTCAGTGACTGGCATAGCTCCACCTCTAGCAGACTGCTGAATGTCTGACTTTATTTTTGGCTGCTGGCCAGTACAGGGATCCAAACCCTTGACCTTGGTATTATACCATCATGCTCTAACTAACTGAGCTAACTGGCCAGCCCACCTCTGGGCTCTTATAACCATCAAGGAGTAGTGCCTTCATTCAATAGAACATACAGAAGCGAGAATGCACAAAATAAAACCAATGTTACTACAGGGATGAATCTCAAAGACATGCTGAAAGAAGTCAGGCACCTAAGAGTACGTACTGTAAGAGTCCACTTAAAATTTATAATGAAGCAAAACTCAAAAACAAAAGCAAATACAAAACCACAAAAAACCCAGGCAAAACTCATCTATTGGGATAGAAATCAAGAGAGGGACTCCCTTTGGGGGTAATAGTGGCCAGGGAGGCAGCTCATGAGAGGGGCCGGTGAGCTTCTATTTTTTGGTGTGCATGCTGTTTACATGGGTATATTCACTTTGTGAAAACTTAAGCTGAACCCTTATAATTCGTGCACTTTTCTGAATGTCTATTTCCTTACAAATGCTACCTGCCAAAAAAGGAAAGGAGAAAAACCAGGAGCTCTCCTTCCTTCCTCCTAAACAAGGCCTTCCCTGGGATGGGACCAGGCAGGCTGGGAAAGCCACAAACAGGGCCCTTGCCCGCATGGCATGGAGTGGCTGTGGAGGAGGGGAGGAGCTGGGTTGGAGCCTTAAGCCCTCATCCTGCCCGTCTTGTCGCATTTTCGAGTTCCAGCCTGGTGCCCCATGGAGCAAAGCGGTCTGTGGGTCAAGGGAGGGGCTGGAAATGAGGCCCAAGCATGTTCCCTGGGAAGGACGACAAGGTACTTGCCAACCAAGACTCATGTGCCATCTTCCCCACCTGCTAGCAGCCAAGCTGTCCGGGGAGAGGGTGGTGTATGGGCCCCCAGCCCGCCTCCCCAGGCTGCTGGCCAACCTAGTGTAAATATTATTATATTCCTACACATCTGAAGGACGTTAATTATTAAAACACATGCCACCCAGGGTAGTGCACTGTAATTAGGTTCAAATTAAATTAGCATCCTCTTGTAATTAGGACATCAACAACCACTCTTGAGGCACCAACTCTCCAGCCCCTCCCTAAAGCTTCCCAACATGGGCTAATGCAAGAAAAGGTGTCTACTGACTCTCCATGGGATGTAGAAATAATCAAACCAATAAATAAAGCCGAAGCAGCCACGAGAACCCTTCCCCCCACCACTGCCTTCCCTGCTGGTCCTGCACACTAGCAGGGAGGAGGGAGAAGAGAGACACTGGGGAGGAGTCTCAGACACCAATACTTCCCTGGTGGATCTCCCAAACCCTAGGCCCTGCGGCATCCACCCTGAGAGACCACGAAACTCCCCAAGCCTGCCAGAGATAAGCAATGCTTTCCTGCCATCCGTTAGCCCCAACTCTTCCCCCTTCCTCTGGAAAGGCTCCCGGCCGCCTGGGCCAGGGCCTCTTGAAGTCCCGGGGCATTGCCCACTGCTGTGGTTTATTATAGATGTTACGACATCAGCTGCCTCCTCCACACCTGGTGTGAGATGGCCTCAGCACTCACTGGACCCAACACTGTGCTTGGTGCTATCTGGATCCTAATCCCTGTTTGGTGGATGCTGGCTGGATGGATAGATAATAAGTGCTCATGAGATTAGATTTTGTTGTTCAACTGGGAAGGTGGATGTGGAAGCAGAACCTATGATCCTGAGGCCAAGAAGCAAGTTTCATAACTCACGGGGAGGAGAGGAACCCATGGAGAGCTTTTCTTGTGCTACTTGTGCAAGTGCTGGTGCCGACTGGACAACTGTGGGTGGAAACAGAACATGCCAATGCACAAGCACGCTCCTGTGAGTGCCTCCTTCAATTCTGCACCCTGGTCCCAGCCTCCCCAGAACAAATCATGGGAACTCAACATGTGGTAGAGAGAGATGACCAAGCTGGGACCAAAACCAGACAAGCAGCAGGAGCACCTTCCTGCCTGGTGACCACTCTGACCTTTGTCTAAAACAGCCTTGGAAGAGAAAGAAAATAAGAGGTGGGAAGGCTCAGGCATAATTTCAACTGGAAAACTAAGGAGGGTTTATCCTTGGGCGCATATGTAACCAAGGCAACTGTTAAGACAGTGAGATGATTTCAGGCCCTTTTACAAAAGAGTGGGCTGGCATCTTGCCCCTCTGCCAATTGTGTTCACCGGGAATACACAGCGCCATACCTCTTGGCCCCTCTGGGATCACCTGGGAGGTGGAGAAATGGGTGAGATGGGCATTCTTTTCTCCACAGATAAAAATAAAATGAGACCATGGTGAGAGGGTGCTTGCCTGCTAGGGGGGGGAAGGAAGATGGAGCAGAGATTCACACCAAGTCATCATGCACACTCCTGCTGATTTCCTGGGCCCCCAGGGTCTGCACATAGTCACAGGACACTAGACCATAAGGGGTCTGAATCAAGGAGATGCTTATGCTCTGACCAACTCAGAAGCGCTGGAGACAGAAACCACGAGTCCTCAGGAGGAGGAAAGGAAGCGTAGTGGTTTCTGGAGCTGAACTGACTCAGCATTTCTCCCCATTGCTCTTCTGTGGTTCTTCTCACTCTTGCTTCTCCCCTTAACTAGTGCACCCTGAGCACAAGAAACACCTCTTTTTTTTGGGGGCCGGCCCGGTGGCGCACTGGAGAGTGCGCCGCTTGGGAGCATGGCGGCGCTGAGCACGGTGCGGGCGCGACAATGAGGGTTGCGATCCCGTTGCCGGTCAGTAAAAAAGACAAAAAGGAAAAAAAAAAAAAAAAAAAAGAAACACCTCTTTTTGCCTAAAGACAGAAGTCCTGGGCAGAACCTCATGTGAACCTGGGCCAGAATAAGTGTGTGTTTGGCCAGGCCCTACTACCGCCACTAACTCCCCCCACCCCCAAAATCAAAGGACCAATTTTATATGGCAGCTTGAAACAGCACCCCAGATCAGAATGTCTGGCTGCCCAAGACGTGCCACCACCAGATTTCACCAGAGTATGTGCTTGGGCGGGGCAGGGCCACACAGATGATGCCATGGGGGAAGAACAAGGGGCTGGACACTGTGGATGCTGGGCATGGGGATGTCTCCATCACACACACCCCTACTTCCTCCCCCTGCCACACCCTGTATATAAGAGGCTCCTCACTGCACACCACAGTGGCTGCTCTGTGAGTCTCTCTCCTCCCTTGTGGGCTAGAAGTAGCCTGGGAATTCTGAGCTCTGGGGCCAGCTCTACCTTGAGGGCCTTTGGGGACAGCTCGTCAAGTCAGACACAAGCAAGAGTTGACCTGGAGAAGACAGACAGTCCTCTCCTCGCTTGGGGCCTGGATCTCTCTCTAAGAAGCTTGTCCTCCTAACTCTACTCACTAGTGAAGGACAAGGGCCCCTTGTTCTTAAGCCTCTCTGTGCCAGCCACAACATGAATTAGGGAGATCACCTCTTCTTCCTCCCGCCAAGTCCCCTGTGGATCCTTGCTGGGGCTCTGGCAGGGCCTGCCAGAGGACAGGCCCAGCAATTCCCTGCCTGCCATGTGCACATTTGCAGAGGGTGAAGAGTCCTGGCTACTGCTGGCTGAGCTGCTCTAAGTCCGTAAAGTTCTTGAGGGCAAAGGTGCAGAATGGGTCAAAAGAGAAATGTCCAGCCTTCTGTGGGATGGCCATGGTGCCAAGTGGTGCCCAGCAAGGCCCAGAAGTTGCTCAGAACTCTAAAGAGCTGCCTTGCTTCCCCCAGCTGGCTGTTTTTAGGGGGTATGATCAGGCATTTGGAAGACAACCTTGGGGGGTCATTCAAGTTCCCAGGACTCCTCCTGGCTAGGGCTGCTGAGACCCCAGGCTCTGGGCTCTACCATGAACAATAAGGGCTGCAGATAGCATGTACTATTTTATTGGGCCTTGAAAGCTTTAAATACAGAACGGGCTGGCAAGCGGGCGGATGTGGACACGCTGGCATCTGAGAGTGGACGTATCAGAGAAATCACATAATCAACAGCTGGACAGAAAGCTGGGGCAGAAGGGCGGTCTAGCAGAGGCAGGTGCCAGCTGGCCTCGGGTGTTAGGATTACTCCCTCTACTAGGACAAAGTCTTTCATGTTTCTTCCTGATTTGAGGACGATTTTTTAAAAAAAACCACCACCCCCCAAATAAAAATATAAAATCAGTTCCAAGAGACTGTGGACAGCAGTGGCTGTCATCTCAAAGGACAACGGCCTGCTCCCAGAAATCCTTGGGGTCCCCCCAGCCCACCCCCAGCCCTGACGCCACCCTACATGACATTTCCATACACTGAAGCAAAGCTGGACCCAGTCTACACCCCTCTTTGGGATCTGGAGTTGAAAACATCCTCGGGCAGAGGAGAAGGTGCTGGTGTGGGCAGTGCTGGGGCCGGACCCCACTCCTCCTTAGCGGCCGTAGCCAAACTCATCTGCATCATCAGCTCGGAAGTCTCCATAGCGCCACAGGTTCAGCTGTGAGAGAAAGCAGAAAACGGTTCTTCAGGGGTGTGGGGATGCTGGAACCCAGATGGCCAAGGTCATGAACTCAACACCCTTTGGGGCTCCTGAAGCAGAAAACTCACCCTGGCGCTCTTGGCTGACTCCTGGGCGTTCAGGTATTCTGTGATCTGGAGGGACAAGAGAAGAAAGGAGTGGTCAAGACAGGGATGTTCTCAGCTGAGCAGCCAGAACCACCCTGTGGAATACTTAGTCAGTTCCACATCAGGCCCTTGCTCAAAACCCTCCAGTGGAGCCCAGTTCCCTTGGAGTAAAATCCAAAATGCACAATCCCTCTGATCTCCTTGGTGTCCTTGACTCTTTGCTGGCTGTTTCATCTGCATTGAACATTCTTGTCCTCATGTCTACCTGGTTACCTATCCCACCCCCTTGAAGTCTTTGATAAAGTATCATCTTCTTAATGAGGCCTCAAGTAACCCCACTGAAAATTACAACCACCCCTCCCCCACATTCTTGACTCTCTTTACTTCTGTTTTTTTCATTTTCCATAGCATTTATCATCTTCTAACTTTCTATTTAATTTACTTATTATATTCATTTTTATCGTTTGTCTCATCATGCTTGAATATAAGCTCCACAGAGCTGGGATGTCATCTCTTGTTGATATATGTAGGCCCTCAATAAATATTTGCTGAACACACATTAGTGTTTAATCTCAGGGACTGGGGCAAAAGGAATTTTCCAGATACTAGAGACATTATGGGTAGCTTTATATGGGGAACATTAAGATCTCCAATTCTACAGGGAAAATTAAGCTAAGCTCCTAGCAGCTATCTTAGGTAACTGGGGGTCTCCCAGAGGAGCATGAAGGGTCAGGCTTCTCTCGAGGCATAACAACACTTCACACTGGCACCTTGTTCCAAATGAGCTGCCACGCACATGACTAATGCCACTGATCCACAAACTACCAGTACATTATTATGTGGCCTGAGGTGTTGGGGGAGAGAAGAGAAGCAAAAGTGGGGCTGGGGAAAGGGGAAGCAGTGGCCAGAGGAAAAGAGACTGAAAGAGAAGAGCAGGTGAGGGAGCGCAGGAGGAACTGGATGTTGCCTGCTGCCTGCATCCCAGCAGCCCGCCCTCTGGAGGGTTCACTGACTCAGCTCAGGGTTCTCTGGTGAGAGGCCAGGGAGGGACTCAGATATGAATGGAGCCGAGTGGAGGAGGCTGCCTTGTACCCAGTGCCCAAACCTATGAATCAGTAACTGAACAGTGCAAGGTGTCTCTGGGTGTCAGCCCCTCCGATCGTCGTAACCAACCCGATGAAGCAGCAAGGTCACCGCACTCTGCTTGTTTCATGCGCGGGGAGACTCAGGCTTCAGAAGGGTGACTTCTCCATCTCATACAGTGGAGGCAGGACCCCTGCCCTACGGGCTTTCTAAACAGGCTGGAGGGGTGTGGTGGCAGAGTCCTTTTAGGCCCTTTGGTGCTGCCTCCTGGACAGCTCTGGCTCTGGGTGGCACTGGGTGCTAGGGGTTGGTTATGAACTTGCACATGAGAGAAATGGAAGTAAGACTGGGAGAGACAGCTGACCCTCTCCACACCACCCCTGGCAAAGATCTCTAGCCTGTCACCTGGGGGTATGTGCAAAAGGAAACTTTCCGCTCTAGTTTGCAGCTGCATTCTCAGCCAAGCCCGCAGCCAATTAATTTGAGATGTAATTAGCTTTTTTGTTTGTTTGTTTTTAAACCCCAACAAACCCAAATCCATTATCTTTCCCCAGCAGGAGCAGCAGGATGGTGGGTTCCCTGCTCCCTCCCTGGCTCTTGGTGCAGTCCCCAGTCCCCTCATCTGTGATGATGGTGGGGGGAGATGCAGAGGGCCTGCTCCCATGCGGGTGGCCTCTCTTTACATCACATACCACTTTCTGGAACTGTTTCTCCTTGCGCACCTCCACCATGACCAGCCCCTCCTTCACCAAGCCCAGCCCCACGTCGCCCTTGGAATCAGCAAACTGCAGGGTGACGTGGGGGCAGCCGGCGCTCAGGTGTTCCACGTTTAGCAGGCACTGAGTGTTCTGGATGTCCCGAACCACGCTGTCCACGGCGTCTGTGCGAGCATCCTCCTGGGGCAGGGACACACCCAGGTTAGTGGAGTGGTCAGTGCAAGCTAAAGAGCAGCCACTTAGGGCCTTGGTCCTGTCTGTGGACTTCCAAGGTTTGCCCAGCAGGGGCCTGCAACCCACTCCCCTTTGGATCCTCATGAGGGAAAAAGGCCCTGGGTATGAAGTACCTGCTTTCCCTCTCCCCAAGCCTATCTGCATTCAAACCCACTCTTCCCTACCCTTATACACCCACCTGCCCAAGGAAAAGTGGCCTTTTCCCACTCAAAACTAACCCTGCACTTGTTGCCCTGGCCCCTCGCATCTCCCGCCTGCTGCAGGCTCTTGCTTCAGCATGGTGACCCACCACAGCCCTGTTTCCGTCCCTGCTGGCACCTCAAGCTCTCTCCACACTCACGCCTCTCTGTCCTCAGACTTCCCCTGGACCCATTCTGTGAAACTTGCCCTCACCAACTCTGCTGCCTCTGCTCTTCCTCTCAGCAACTCTGTGAGCAGGCAGGGAAGAGTCCGCACTGCCAACTCCCACTCTTCCATTTGCTTCATAGCACCCTGCACCACGCAGCTCTCGCAGAGCACCAGGCACCTCCTCGAAGCTAGAGCCAAGGGCAAGACTCAGCCTGCCTGAGGTCCAGGGGAGCTGGATACTGCACATTGGCTCTCTCTTTCTGGAAACCAGGGGCATCTACAACACAGCACAGGTTCTCCTCCTCTCCGGCTGCACCTTCTGCCTCTGGGCTCCTCATCCTCAGATGGCCTGCACTTCCCAAAGCTCTCTCCTCCCCATCACCCCTCCCCATACTCACTCTGGGCAGTCTTGTTCACTCCCACGGTTTTAACTACTCAAGTCCATTATCCTAGGTCTTATCTTGCTTCCAAGCTGAAAACTATGAAGCCCCCTGCAGGTCCCACAGCCCAAATTTGCTCCTTCTTGTTCCCCTGGGCCAAGCAACAAAGATATAGGAAGTCCAGTGCCATCTTAGATTCCTCCTCTCCCTTCTCCCCACCCTTCTGATGTCACGTCTCTGAGACCTGTCCCTTTCTCCCCATCCCCACTCCAATGGCCCTGGTGTGGCCATCATTGTCTGTAGCCTGAACTGTCACAATCGTTCTCCAACCACTACTTCCACCTCCCCCCATCCACAATGCCACCAGAACAAACTTTCAGAACCAGATTTGACACACTTCTGCTGAAAACCCTGCTAATCCAGCCCCACCTACAGTATGGAGGAACAAACTTCTCGTCAGGGCAGACAAGACCACGATACCCAAGCTTCTCACCTCCTGCTACTGCTCACAAGGCCCTAGGATCCAGCTGTGGTGGCCTAGTTGCTGCCCAAAGGCACCCTGTTTCACCAGGCCTACTTGTTTCTCAAGAACAAGCTGAAATGCTCAAATGTCACCTCCTCTGTGGCACCCTCCCATAAACTCCAGGGTCAAAGTTAATCATGCCCATTGCTTGAGTCCCATTACTAACAGACCATTTCATCAGTTTCCATCTTCTCCCATCAGCCTGTTAGAGCTGCAGCAGTGGCTGAGTGCCAATGGACAGTCCCCTTTGGAAGGAGAAAGATGTCTTGACTCACATCTTGGGGCACCTGGATGAAGGCGAAGGCATACTCTGTGGCTTGAGCTGGCAGCACGCGAGTGCTGAAGGCAGGTGGCAGGGTGCCCAGGCGGGTGGACGGCAGGATCTCTCTCTGCAGAGGAAACACCATTCCACCAGCATCACACACTTGATGTCCCGTTGCTCTCACAGGACAGCTGTCTGTGCCAGCATTCTGGGGATTCTAACTCTGGGCCTCCTCAGCTGACTCTGAGACTCAATTCCACTTCACCAAGGGCACGGGCCTCCCAGTCGGGGAAGCCTTGGGAGAACATGCCTGCTGATGCCAGCACAGATGGGGAGCTATGATTCTCACCCTCCCACTCGGGGCCTGGTGCTGGCACACCTGGTGGCACCCATTAAAATGATCATGGCGAGAACTGGACTTTCAATACTGTTTCCACTTCCTTCCTCTGTGACATGTGTTCCCAGACTACTTTTCCATAGGCCAGGGGTGCACACCAAGATGAGGGGCCCAGCAGTCCCCAAGCCTGCCCGTGGTTCTGGCCCAGGTGTGTGGGGTTTCTCCAGCTTGGCAGGACCTCTTCCTTTGTGTATTCCCAGGTGATAAGCTGGGAGCACAGCCCAGCTCTGGGCTCTCTGACAGCTCCTCAGCCCTAGTCCTTGAGGAGGGTAAGGGAGGGAAGCAGACAACTAGAGCCGCACCTCAGGAGCATCACAGTCCTGCACTATAACTTTCCTACTTGCTGCTGCATCCGCAGGGAATCTCCCAGGGAACGGCAACAGACTCCCGGGCCCAGCTTGACAGGCTTTTCTCCCAAGGGCACCAGTCACTCTGTCACCTTATGATTGTCCTTTCCCAAAGAGCCTGGGTTTTGGGATGCACCAGCGATCAGCAGATGGAACAAACACCTGGCTCGGCATGAACACCAGGAACTGTGGGGGCAAAGGGCCTTCATGCTACAGAACCCTGGGCATGGTCTTCAGAGATGTTAGGCAGGAAAAGAACTGTGGATGTGGCTGGGCACTCATCTTTCAGGCCTGGACGTGGAACCTCTCGTTGCTCACAGGCCTCTGGACACAGACACCTGTTTTACCTGCTCACTCAGGGGGCCTGGCCTGTCACACGAACAGGCAGAGATGCCCAAGTGCTCATCATTCTGTCAGTAAGCTCAGAGGCACCTCCCCCTCCACCTTTGGTCCCCAACACTCACATTGCCGTAGTCAATGTAGAAGACGTGTACTTTGGCAGGAGACTCAACTTTCTCTACTCGGGCGCGGTACCTGCAATGGCATCATGGGCGTAGCTCAAGGGACAGCCCTGAGGAGACTGGTCTCCCCGAAGCCTTAGTGATGGCAGGGGCCAGCATTTCCCTGCCCAGAGTTTTTGGGTGTCACAGAGGGCAGTTCCCAGACTCCACCGAGGCTCAGCCTCAGGGCACTGTGGCCACCACCTAATGGAGTCAGAGCATAGCTGGGAGCAGAGGAGGGAGAAGGGAGCATGTGGAGCAGATTAATGTGTCCTTGGGGCATAAAGCAACAAGACTAATGACTAGATTGATGTCTGCTGTTTAAACCCAGCACACTAAACAGCAGCTGTAATTAGCTGGCAGATCTGTCTGGGAGGCCGCAGCAGGGAACACATCCAAGTCACTTTGTCACTCTGGGAAGGCCATGAGCCCTACTCTTGGTAGATCACAAATAAGTGACCTTCTTCTGGCCTGAGTGCTGCTGCTCATGTCCCAGACAGCTAGGCTGGGCTCACGGTGAAGCAGCCTCCACCTCACCCTGTGACATCATTCTCCCTGCGTAAGGTGAGGGGTGTGTTGGAGAGCCCCAGCCAGCCAGCCAGCCAGCCAGCCAGCCAGCCAGCCAGCCAGCCAGCCAGCCAGCCAGCCAGCCAGCCAGCCAGCCAGCCAGCCAGCCAGCCAGCCAGCCAGCCAGCCAGCCAGCCAGCCAGCCAGCCAGCCAGCCAGCCAGCCAGCCAGCCAGCCAGCCAGCCAGCCAGCCAGCCAGCCAGCCAGCCAGCCAGCCAGCCAGCCAGCCAGCCAGCCAGCCAGCCAGCCAGGGCTCCTACCTCAGACTTCCCCTGAAGAGAGGAAGGGGAGACACTTCTGTTTTCCAGAGACCAAAGCGCAGGCCCCACATGGGCTGTGGGCAATGAAGGGGAAACCCTGAAGAGCTGGCGGAGGCCCTCAATGACCACCCAGTGGAAACTAGACAGCTAAGTCAGACATCTAGCTGGGAGCCTTGCAGGCCAGTGCCAAGGTGAGCCCTGCTACCCCCCCCGCCCCCCTTTAAACTCCTTCCTTGCTCTTCCAAGTGGCTTACCACTCTCCGTCTACAAATTTGGCAATGCAGAACTCTCCCCGGCGGGGGGCGTAGGAGCCCTCTACAGGGGGGTGGCTGGCGATGTCATTGCGCATGTTCTCCATCAGCTTCTCTAGCTGGGTGCCTGCCAGGGAGGAAGAGGGCAGTGAGATGTGGGTACCGTGCTCTTTGGAGCCTCATCTCTGGGTGGGCCTGGGGAGTGAGCAGGATGTGAAATTCTGGAGGGCACCGCTGCACTGGCTCTGCCCCAGCCCACGCAGGGAAGTCCTCTTTGGTCCCTGCTCAAGAGATTTCACACCATCCATCTTCAAAAGCGCTGACACTTTGGGCCTTGCAGGCACACACAGCCTTCCCGATCTTGGCTCTCCAATCTATTGGCAAGGCCTGTAGAGCCCCTGGGAATGCACCTGGGCTTTGATGAGGTGGAGAAGGCGAGTGGACATGGAGTAAGACCAAGGCTGAAGAGCCTCCTCCAAGGTGAGAGCTGGCCAGCCTGTACGCCATTCCTCCAAGGGCCAACTCCTGGCCTGGGCCACAGAGATGGTGTTAGAAGACTGCACTCTGGGGCCGGCCTGTGGCTCACCTGGGAGAGTGTGGTGCTGATAACACCAAGGCCACAGGTTCGGATCCCATATAGGGATGGCTGGTTGGCTCACCTGGGAGAGCATGGTGCTGACAACACCAAGTCAAGGGTTAAGATCCCCTTACCGGTCATCTTTAAAAAAAAAAAAAAGACTGCGCTCTAACCAACTGAGCTAACTGGCCAGCTCCTACCACAGAGGTGGTGACTGACAAGAGCCACCCTGTCCCATGTCTCCCAGGGGGCAAAAGTGGAGATGAAGGATGGCCCCATACAACCCTGGATAAGGAAAGGGCCTCAGAACTAGAGACATGAAAGGTAGGGGAAGGATTCTGGGATCATGGCCTATAGCCTCAGTATATTCAAACTTGGTCACTAGGACCCTTGTCATGCTGCAAGACACGTGCTGAGCACAAGGGCCAGTGCTGCCTGGCTGGGGTTCCACTCCCCCATCCTGCAACTCAGTGCCTCTTTTGACTGGGGGAGGGATACCCCTTCTCTGCCTCACTCTGGCCTCGGGTCAACTGTCTCTGCTGCTTGTCTGCTGTTTTGTTGCCTGTTGTGATTAAACTCAAGGTCTCAGTTTCCCTCCCTAGCTCCTTCCTGCTGCGTCTTCCTCACCCCCATAATTCTGGACATCAGTCCCCTGTGGCTTCTCCTTTTATGTCGCTTCTGGCCCTGGTTCTAGCTCAGCTCAGACCTTTTTTGCCACCTTCCCTCTGAGAGGTGAGGAAGGTAGCTGTGTGGTCTCAGTGCGGGACTCCCCTCTCTTTAGTGCGACACACCACTAATGCAGCTGGAACAGGTGCCTAGCATGTGTTCACTGCTGTTACACTTGCCACAGTCAGCCTTATAATCTTGTCTGTGTTTATGTTTTTGCCACTACTATGTGAGCTCCTTCAGGGCACAGACCGTCACTCAAGTTTCTGTTTACTTGCACAAGGCCTAGTGGAATCCCTAATGCATACAGGGTGCTTAATAATTCAAATGTAGTGAAAATGAACTCCACATCTTCACGCAAGGGTGTGTGTCTACTCTCAGGCTGCTGCCCAGGCCGCTATCCTGGCATTCAGTTTCAGAACAGGGGCTTTAGGGTAGCCTGCCCTTCCCCTACCCAGTGGTAAACCCTCGGTAATTCTCCTTTGAAAGTGCTCCTTGCTCACAGACTACAATTCCAGAAGAAACCCCTACGGGCCGAGCCCGTGGCACACTCGGGAGAATGCGGCCCTGGGAGCGCAGCAGCGCTCCCGCCACGGGTTCGGATCCTATATAGGGATGACCGGTGTGCTCACAGCGCTCACTGGTTGAGCGTGGTGCAGCCGGTCTCAAAAAGGACAAAATAAACAAACAAACAAAAAAACCCCTACACAGACAGGTTCCTCTCTAACTTGAGCTACTTTCATTTTGTTTTACTTTATTTTTTTTGCTCCAAGGCAACAGAAGCAAGACTTTGCCTCCTGCAAACAGGCAAAGCCTTCTGGTTGGTCATTTGCAGTTAACGGCAATGTTTTCATTGGCTACTTCCCCAAAGCAGGCTTTAATTGAGAGAAGGGGGACAGGGCGAGAGGATAATCCCCAAGAGGGGATGAAAGATTTCAGAAGAGGGAGGCTGTGAATCCTGTTTATTTGCATTGATTTTATAGAGCCACCTGAGGGCAGGGTCCTCTCCGGAGCCCACTACAACTCCCCAGGTGGCGTGCCATGAAGCGCCCCACTCCCTTCCCTTCCAACACTCTAAGAACACATGGTTTCTCCAGTTCTCTTTCTTTCCTTGTTTTCTGCCTTGGACACCACTCACTTCAGTGTCCTTGCTTCCCAGAACCTCCAGAGACAGCCAGATGGGGTACAGGGCAGTCATGGGAAGACTTGTACCCTCAAGCTCATTCAAGGAGGATCCTCCCCAGCAGGACCCAATGGCCAGGTAGAGCCTGCCTGGGAGTCGGCGTACCCTGGGCAGGGTGTACTTTGAGCTCCTCTGCTCATGAACGGCTCTCATTCCTATCTACGACACCATCACAAGACTCCTTCCCTGTCACCCCACCCAGACCTGGAGGCTGGGCATCTCCTGGGTTCACTTCCAAGGCAACTGCTGGTCCAGCTTTCACCAGGATCACAGTTGACCTCGAGAGAACCTACTCCTGAAGGCTCATCAGCTCCACTTCTAGCCCTCCTCTGTGTTCTTCCTTCCCAGGCACAGCCAGTCCAGGGCCAGGAATGGTCAAGTTTTCTTGGTGAAATGACAGTGCTACAAAAGCAGCTGCTAGGAAATATCATGAGAGGGGAAGAGGCTGAGATGAGGCTTTTGGCAATCTGGAGTGAGCCTGGGGTGGGGCTGAGGAGGCTGCGCAGGGCCACGCCCTGCCATCCCTGCCATCGTGGGGTTGCTTTGAGTGCCAGTGACAACTTCAGTGCTCTCTGTCCCCAGAATTTGGCTCCTTGGACCTAAGGGTGGCTGTAAGAGCTTTTTCCTCTGCTCCCAACTAAACTGATTCCCTGCACAGGGTGGTAATGCGAGGAGGGAGGGCAGGGTGGAGAGCAGGCACAGGGGTGGGTGGGAAGCTGGGCCAGCTGCTGCTAGAGCCATCTCTGCTGGCCTCTGTCCTCCAGAAGCCTGAACTCTCTGCCTAGGGGACCCTGGCCACAGTACACAGCACTTGAGGACAGAAGGAGGAGAGGGTCCTTCAGAAAGACTGCCTGGGATGACTTCCCCTAGAGTGCTGCCTGTTTCCATGGAAACCAGCTACCACTCAGGGCTCTGTTAACCTCTAGAGAAGGAGAAACCCCAGCAGAAACAAGCCCAGGCACCCTGCCCCTGCCTTTCCAGGGAAGCTGAGGGACAGGGGCTGAACAATGCCTGCCTGGTGCTTCCTGGCCACATGCAGACAATCTGGATGTCGCTTCCTGACAGACTCTGGGGGCCACAAATCCTCATGCCCAGCCCAGTCAGGAGTGTCTGGGAGCAAAACAATTACCTAAGAGTCCCAGAGTGCCACCCTGACAAAATCTGCTTCCTCACTAACACTCAGAGGACCTGCTCAGCCTCACCTACATGCCCAAGCCCACTCCAAGACTCACTTGTGGGTTCATGAAATGACCCTTGTGCCCAGAGAGCAGTGTGACGGGCCTGGAGGTGGCATGGGCCACAGTGTCAGCTCTTCTAGGAAGGCTTTGGACCGCCTGGGCTGTGCTCCTCCCTTGCACTGAAGAGAGGGCCCCGAGACTGCTGGCCCTGGCAGGACTGTGAGCCAGCAGTGCCGAGCACTCACCGGTCTCCACATCCTGCACGTAGAAGTGCAGGTCGTCAGTGATCTCGGTTACAAACACTGGCTTGTAGCTGGCTGATCGCTCCTTCTCCTCCAGCACAGGCGTCACCTCCTCCACGGGCTGTTCCTCATAGTGGGTCCAGACCTGCATGTTTGGTCAGCAGAAGTGAGCAAGGGACAGGGAAGTGAAGTCAAAAAGGACATAGGGAAAGGAGCTTTGGGCAAGTGGGGTCACACCACAGGGCACTTGAATCACACTGGGCTGAGCCCCTGGAGTCCGTCCACTGTGTCTGAGGGGAAGGGTGGGCTCTCTGAAGTTCTGTTCCAGTGGTTCTCAAATTCTAGCAAGCTTCTAGAAGCAACTAGGGAGCTTATTAAGACTGCAGGTCCCCGGGTGCCACCCAGGCCTACCAAACTAGAATCTGTTATAAGGATTGCAGAGAAAGAAAAGCAAAAACAAAGCCCGGCTCCCAGGCGATTCTCGTGCACACCAGAGTGTGAGGACCCGCTCAAATTGTCTGTCTTGGCTTTGGGCCCCCACTCCACCAGCTCTGGTATCTGGTTCCCCATGGCACTCTGCAGGGGTCTCTCTAAACTCTCCAGGCCCTCCTCCCATCACAGGGCCACTGGCACTCCTGAGGCACTCCACGTGACAGCCCTCCTCAGCAACTTTCCTTTTCTCCTCACCTCCAGCAGGTTGCTCTGACCTCAGCTTGGAAGCTGGGCCATCCCCTCTCCACTCTTCCCTCTCTCCCTTCCTTTTCCAAGCCCTGTGCTGTCAAGGCTGCAGCGACTCAGAAGCTGATTTGACGTGACAGTGCGTCAAGTCCAATCCTGCGGCCAGGAGATTATCCCAGTACTGAGGCCTGTCAGAGCAGGGAGGGTGGTGGCTTTCTAGCTGTGCAGTGGGCAGAGGGTAGGGGAGTGCAGGGCACTGGACCTCACACAGGGTCCCACAGACACACACACATAGGACCAGGGGATAATACAAGTATTAGCCCAAAACATGTGCCTGCTAGGTGCCAGGCACCATTCTAAATGTTCTCCAAATATTAATTCATTTAATCCTCACAATAACCCTCTGAGTAAGTATTAACATTATTCCTGCTTTATAAATGGGGAAACTGAGATACACGGGCTTGCAGCTAGAAGTAGTGGAATTAGGATTCTAACACAGGCTGCCTGGCTCCACAGCCTTTCTGGGGGCATTTTGGCATTGACTGAGCATCCTGAAGAAAAAAAGCAGCTCTGAACAGCGGGAAAAGCTATAGTGGGAAGATGTGGCCTCTTGTCCCTCCTGCCACTTAACTTGCTGCTTGACTTTGGTGAGGCTACGTATCTTCTCTGGGTCTCCACTGCTTCCCTGGTAAAATTAGGGAGTTAGTTTGACCATACAATCATTAAGATCGTGCCTCTCAGCTGATATGCAGATGTCTGGGTGGCCTCTGAAGGGCAGGAATGCTGGAACTATGGAACCACCTTGGGTTGCCCCCAGAGTCCACATGTCTGCCTTCAATGTGGCATGAGTGTGTGTCCTTCCACCAGAAGGGGCGGCGAGGGCCTGAGAACTGGAATGGGTGAAGACTTCCTGAGCCCACGGGAGGCTGCCGGAGAATGGCCAATACATCTCCCAAGTGCTCTGCCACCCTACATAGAGCAGTGCCTTCTGAGGCTGCGCTGTAGGCCCCTGGTCTGGGGCTGGGCTCCAACCCAAATAGCTCCTGATCCCCTCTCACTTTCCAGGCTCCAGCCATCCCAAAACGTGTCCCCATCACCACTATCATTCCCTTTATGACCAGCACCCAGAGGCCTCTGCACCCACTGCTGCTCCCAACACCCCCCAGCCCTGGCTGGCCAGAGGAGGGAGGCAAACAGCAGGACTTTAACCCACAGCCTTGCCTCTCATCAGATCAGAGACTCTTGGCCTAATCCCTCAAGGGCTCACCTACCCATATGGGGAAGGGGGTCTCTAGCTTGCAGACCACCCTGTGAAAGGGGTTTGGGGACAGCCACACATGCTTCCAATTCCAAGGCCTATGTCCTGAGGAGGCTGAGGCTAAGTTCCCGGGGAAAAGTCTACTCTGCTAGTCAATCCTACCCACGTCTAGGCTCCCAGCTGCTCTTGGACCCTTGCAGCTAAGACTGATGGGCCTTGCACTGCCACTGAGAACACAACCTTAAAGGAACTGGAGCTGAGCCCTGCTACCCTCCCTGCCAGTCACCTTCCTGACCCTGCAGAGTCTGCCACTGCCCCCTTCTCTTTGCCAGCACCCACCACTCCAATCCCTCAATCTCTCCATACTCCCTGTACTCTTCAGACCCCAGCAGTGGGTCCTTCCCTCTTCCTGCCTTGCTCTTCCTTCTAGCTTCTTCCCTTCCCAGCACTTGGCTTGTTAAAGACACAGGTCCCCAAGCTCATTCCCAAGTGGGCCCTAAGTGGCTCCCATCCTAAGCCCACCTGCTTCCCTTGGCTGTGGGGGAAGGTGCTCCTCAGCTGTGCTGAAACTTTGGGAAGAGACTGACAGTGTGAGGGCAGAAATTGCTAATGACTCCTCAAGTAAAAGTGCCTCAAGCAACGGTTTCCTCCTTAGGGAGAGGGGGTGGAGCTTCCTCCCCTGGCAGGCTCAGGTAGGCAGCGAGCCTGAGGTCATAAAAGCCTCAGGGATGACCCTTGGTCCTCCAGCTTTGGGGCCAGTCCTGCAACAAGGTCCCTTAGCTCACTTGGCAGTTGTGGGGTGTGGGGGGTTGCACACTGCCACCTGAATTGAGAAGAAGAGTGAGGTGTCTCCACACGAAGTGTCTGGCGCCTGAAGTTGTCAAGAAGCATGAAAATGGGTGACAGGGAGAGCTGCTGCTCAGACAAAGGAACTCTGTTTCTCAGAGAGGGCTGTCTCTCCTCCAGTCCTCTTCCCTACACTTCCTCCCTGGGGAGCCCCAGGTCCTCCTCCTGGCAGGAGACGGGGAATGTGGACTGGGGATGCACTGGCTGGAGTCTTTCCTTTCTAAATCCTATTTAATATTGCTGCTCGCAAGGCTGTTAAGGGTGGGGCTGGCATGGGGCCAGGGTGGTGGAGGCCTTTAAGCCCACAGCAGGAAGTCAAGCTCAATAAAAGCCAATCAATGGCCAATCCGGTCCTGTCCAGGGCCCTGCTGGGCATGACTGTGTGTGTGTGTAGTGGTGGGGGTGGACAGTCTAGATGCCTGCCATCTGTGGCTCCTGCCTTGGTCCTTGGGTCTGTGCAGGACCCCTGAGGGGGAAGTGGGGGTTCCCCTCCATTAGCCTCCTGCAGGGGAAGGAGAGGGCCCTGCCAGCCTCTGCACAGAGGAGGGGTGTGCAGGGCACAGGGAGGAATTAAACCTACAGGGAGGCAGCCAAGTCCTCGAAGCTGAGAAGCCAGCATTGTCAGGTTCCCCCAAACGGACACACTCACAAATGCACGCCCACATAAGCACCATTCTGAACGACTTCTGCATGCTTCTGGTCTCACACAAACTCTGAGCATTACCTCTCCTTGGCTAGCTAGCAGGCACAAATATTCATGTATCCTGATACTAACATGACTTCTTGCCAGGTAAGGCAGCTGTCAGGGGGTCACACAAGTGGGCAAGGTTGGGTACATCTTGGATACTCAGGCTACTGTCTCCCAGCTCTCATCTGAGTCCAGCCAGCTTTGAGGGCTGCTACAACACCCTGCCAATGCTGCTCCTGGGATCCAGTCCCACCAGGAGGAGGAAAGCCAGCCTATGTTCTTCAGGATACTCAAAGAGGACAGGGATTTACAGGAGAGGGACCCAGGAGGCAGGCAGACCTGAGAACTGAGTGTTGTGTGCTGCATTTTAATTGGACTGGAATAAAAACATGCAGCTTGCATAAGTCATCAATCACTGGTAATTACTCCTCAGCGTCATCAAGTGGCACCAGCAAAATGATGACTTGGGCTCTTTCAGACAAACCTATTGTGTAGTAAATAACGATCCCCAGTGCAGCACCTGGCAAGGAACCCACCCCTCCATCTCAGGCCAGATTCCCCTCCTGGTCCTACCCGAGGTCCTTCTGGGGTCTCTACTCTCAGAGGGCCAAGGATTGTTCAATCTGCAGAGGCAGCTTCTAGGAACACTTGCTGAGTAGCCAGGAAGCAGTACAGGGGCTTTCATCAGAATCTGGGCCTTAGACTCCGGTGCTTGCTACACTGACCCCCAGCTGCTAGCTCTTCTGCACGGGTTCAGCCCTTTAATCAGGAGGCCCCAGCGCTGCCTTGCCTCCATCTCTCTGCGGCAGGCAGAGGACACAGGGGTGGCCGTCTTAAGTTCAGCTGTCACAAGCAGGAAATCCAAGAGGAGGCCATGTGACTCCTTTACTATAGAGCCGAGGCTGCCTGCTTACCCATCATTCTGGAAGACAGGGTTTAATGTGAGCAGAAACTGCAACAAGTGAGGGTGGAAACCTCTGAGGCCTCATGGTGGCTACCTCCTCCAGGGCACGGACAGTCCCTATGATCTGTCCTAGCTTTTTGGACTGTTACAAGTAACATGATTAGCCCATCTTGTTCCAATGCAAGGTGCTGAATATTTCTGTACCCTACAGCTCTATGGTCACACGCTTGTGCTTGTGTAAGCAAGAAACCACAGACTGCTAGCTCCCAGCTTTTCTGTATAAATAAAAAATAGGCAAGTCTTCTTTTAAAGAAAAAGAAGGACCCCTCCTTAAGTAACCACACTTCCTGCCTTTATACCCAGGTGTGATAAAGGCGCTTACCCAAAGCTTGTTTAAAATTATGTCTGTATGAAAAGTTTTATATCTTGCTATGACTCGCATATTTTAGCTTCTGTAAGCCAGCTATGCTTGCTCTTGCAAAACATCCTGTGCACCTTACAGGATGTCACTAGTTGCCAGCTCAAGGTTAAACATAAGCAACACCATTTTGTAAAAACATCTATTTCGGTCCATTTCAAGGATAGTAGAGAGGGAGAAGGACGGTTAAAAAGTCCTCGCCAAGTGCTAACCGCAAAATTAGCTGATGTACACAAGGCTTGCTTCCACTGGCTAAATGCAAAACAGGCAATCATCCAATCGCGCCCAACTAAGCATAAAAACCGAAAGTAAATCAGGCTCGGGCCGCAGCTCGAATTGGCTGCTGTGGTCCCGGCTACTGGAATAAATCTTTAAAACTCCTTCTGAGTGTGTCTCCTTTGAACTTCAGCTACAACAGGACCACTTCTCCTGCCACCACCTAATGGTCTAGTTACCTATCCTAATGACCAGGGGACAGGAAGAAAAGATACAGCGAGATCCAGGAGGGCAGTCCATGGACCCAGTCCCTAGGGGAAAAAGAGAGGCCTTGAGTGGGTAGGTAGGTGTTCTGGGTTGGGAAGATGGTACCTTTGGTGCCCTAAAGCCCCCCAACTCCTTTTGGCAGGTGTCTGGGCCTTGGCTCTGGGAAATGAATTTCGAGCCAGATGGCTGCCCCATGGGGAAGGAAATGTTTATTCCTGAACAAATTTATGGCTCAGCACGGCCGTCCCACGAAATCCTCCTCAAGCTCAGAGAAGCCCTGACAAATTGGTGGCTGGCTGATTTATCCCCATTATCAGGGCCAGGCTGTAAGTCAATGGCTGAGTGTGGGGGGTGCTGAGCCTGGCTCCCACCACCAAACCACTGGGTTCCTTAATCATCGATTGGTTTCCAAAAGCTGCTTTCCAACCTATCTCCCCTTGTCTCTTCAATGCAGTGTCTGCAGAGACTGATGAGCTGTAAATCTGCTGTCCTAACAGCCTTATGTATCTCCTAGGGCTGCTTCTCTGCAGGGTGATGTGAAGGAAATTTTGAAGTGGGCTGTGGCTGCCCACTCCTCTGAGCAGGTCGGGGAGGGGGAAGGAGGGACACCCCAGGCTCCTCCTCACCAGGGGTTCCCCCCATCATCTCTCCCACTGCTCCAAGGTCACCTTCTAGACAGCTTTCTGCTTCAGGCCCACCAGAGCAGGCCAAGAGATCACTGGTGATCTTCCAGGCTGGCAGCCAGGCTCACCTCTGGTCCAGCAGCAGACTTATGGCTGAGGACACCTAAGCTGCAGTCTGCTCCTCCTTGGTGTGGGGTATGAGACCAACACCACCCTAGGCCACGTGGTAGGCAGGGGGCAGCAGAACCACTTCTGCTGGTTCAGTGAAGGCAGTGGTGTTAGTGTGGGGGGAGGACGAGGGCCGCCACACTCATACCTTCTCTTTCTTCTGCTTGGCGGCCTCCTCAGCAGACAGCAGGGATTTGTAGTAGGAGCTGCGCTCAGCAGTGAAGTGAACCTTGGAGAGCGCGTGTTCCACCAGCAGGACGGACAGGTTGGTGCCGTCGATGTGCAGCCAGCCGATGAAGTTGCCAGCCTTGTCCATGCTCTCCACCTCCACCTCCACCTGGGGACAGAGAGACAGGTGTTGGCTGTGGGGGTAGGCCTGGGGCTGTGTCTGCAGAGGAGGAGGGCAGTGCCAAGGGCTTGTGGGCCATGGGCAGCCACCGTGGGAAAAGGAGAAGAGCAGGAACCTGCTGGAGCCCCCATGCCACGAACTCCTCACTTCAGCTCTGTGAGGTGGGCCTCAGCTTTGCAGCCTCGCACACCCAGAACCATCCTTGATAGACATGTCACTGACAGTGCAACTTCAAAATGCCCCTCTCTGGGCTGGCCGGGTGGCGCACTCGGTAGAGTGTGGCACTTGGGAGTGCGGCAGCGCTCCCGCCGAGGGTTCAGATCTCATATAGAGACCGGTCCGCTCACTGGTTGAGCGCGGTGCGGGCGCGACACCGAGGGTTGCAATCCCGTTACCGGTCACGAAAAAAGACAAAAAGGAAAAAAAAAATGCCCCTCTCTTTTCAGATCCCCTTCTCTTCCTTTTGGCAGAGAGCCACTGGGGTAACCTTGACTCTCCTTAGCTTGAGAGAGAGAGTATGTAAGTGTGAGTGTGAGTGTGTGTGTGTGTGTGTGTGTGTTTGTGTGAGAGAGAGAGAGAGAGAGAAAGAATGAGAGAGAGTAGTGAGATAAGAAGCACCCCAGCTCTGAGAGAGAGAGAGAGAGAGAGAGAGAGAGAGAGAGTAGTGAGATAAGAAGCAGCCTGAGCTCTGGGGACATCCCACACTTCTTTAGCATCCACACCCAGCTCTGCACTGGGAAGACAGGCAGGCCCATAGGGAGCAAGGTAATCCTTGGGGAGAAGGGAGACCGTGTTCTTCCTGGAAGAGCTGAATGAATGAATGTTTAACAAAGGTAATTAAAGTGGCTGCATCAAAACCAGAAGAAGAGAGGAGGGGACAGGTGAGGCAGGAAGACGTAAGCAGGGGCAACCCCAGCAGAAGGCTACTCCTGAGAAGGAGCAACTGGAAAGGTATGGTCACTGCCATAAGCCCAGACCCTGGGGCCATGGGCTATGGCTGAGCCCCAGAGCCCTCAGGAAACCCCACAGGGCTCAAGGGCTCCTGGGTCTCCTCCATTGAGGGCCTCACCCCTAGGACCCAGGACCCAGAACTCAGGACCAAGCCCTTCCTCTGCTCCTGCCAGAGGGCAGCCTCAGGGTTGTGGCCCTTGGTGGCTGATCTGCTCCCATCTCATGAAGGCAATGGCCCGGGATAAATTCCTTCTTTGATTCTCTCCTGACCTCTTTCTTCCCCTCCTAACGGGGCTTATAAAAGCTCTTGCTGCCAAATGTAAAAACTTGTATTAATTTGAATGGCTTCAAGCTCGATTAAGCAATAAAATGAATGTCTAAATACCTGGGAATTCTCAAAGCCTGGGCTGGAGCCAGTGGCAGAGGGTTAGAGGGGATGAGGGTGGGGAGATGCCAGACAACACAACTCCCCAGTAGGAAACAGAAGTGGCTTGGGTGTGCAGAGAGAAAGAAGGCAGCGGGGAGGAAAAGAAGGGGTAGTACCATGATCTACACTCATTCTTGAGCACCCTCTTCCTACTTCAGGCTTACAGTTAATCCTTCAAGTGGAAATGCAAGCTCAGCCATGCCTGAAGTTGGGGTGTGGTACAGTAGGGGGTACACAGAGTCTACTAGGGTTAGAGAAAAAGATACTATATAAATCCAGTCCAACTTGTTGATTTTGTAGGTAGGGAAACTGAGGTATGGAGAAAAGAAGTATAGCCAGTAAGGGACTGAGCTGAGAGCAGAATCCAGTTTTCCCTGCTGCTCTTGCTACACTGCCTCCTAATAGAAAAGACCCTCCCTCATGCCCTGCTCCTTTTCCATAGCCGTCTGTTTCAGGAGCAGTCCTGCCTTCTGCCAGCCACACCTCTGAGCCCCATCCTCACTTCCTACTGGGGCAATGCCAGCTCCCTCCACCACCGAGGCCTGTGGGACCTTGCAGCTCAGTGGGTAGAGCCTGGGTGCGAGTGCTGGGATACTGGCTTCTCCCTGCCTCTCTGCTACGCTGGCCCGATCCAAAGCCTCCACCACACACTGCTGAGGGGCAGAAGTGGGAAGAACCAGCAGCTAGGGCTGGTTCACACAGGATTCTCCTTTCTCTAATTCTAACAATTAACTTATGGGAGTCCCTGCCTTTTTGGGAAGAAGGGCAGGTGGGCAAAACAGTGCTCAGATTACAATACCTCTGATCCACCTTGTAAACATCCAGAGCGCTGGAGCACAGTGGAAGCTCGGCCTCAGGAAGACTGTGTGTGCACCTACGGAGGGAGGGCTGGGCATGGGGAAGAGGCTGCCAGGCCTTAGTGGTCGAACAAGAACTGTGATAGGCAAAATGATACATGGGAAGGTGATCTCCTTATCTGCCTTAATTTGCCAAGCTTATCAAACAAGCCAAGGCTGAGAAGCTGCAGGTCCCAGAGGAATCTGGGGAAGCAGCAGGAAGATGAGGCTGCTTGTGCTGGGTTTGGGGATTCATGAGACCCAGGCCAGGTCAAAAACAAACAAGGCTAGTACAGCTCCCAGCCAACACTGAGCCCAGGCCCACACCAGTTTCCCCATTCCCTAACCTTTCGTTTTCCAGTTTTAGTAGTCAAGTGTCCTTTCCCTAAAACAGAGGATGGCTGCACTGCTTGGACACAAGGCCTCCCTCCAGGCGTAGCAGGTCCCCGGGCAGCTGGTAAAGTGTGGCTTTTTGCACCAGGTTGCTGGGATTGATGCAAGAACCTCAGAGACAGGTTGTAGAGGCAACCAGGCAGCACAACCCCTCTCATTCTGTAAGGTGCCCACTCTCAGACCTCACTCCACATGGTAAACCCCAAATTCATACCCCAGCTTTCTTTCTTTTTTTTTTTTTTTTTGTCTTTTTCCGTGTCTGGCAACGGATCGCAACCCTCAGTGTTGCCCCCGCACCGGACCGGGGACCGGCAACGGGATTGCGCCTCGCTCAGCCAGTGAGCGGCCGGTCTGTATGTGGGATCCGAACCCTCGGGCGGGAGCGCCGCCACACTCCCAAGCGGCGCACTTATCCAGTGCGCCACCGGGCCGGCCATACCCCAGCTTTCTGAGGCCACAATCCAGATGCTTGCCTCTTTCTAGGGCTCACATTAGCAAGAACCCAGCGACTAGAAGCCACACCCAGGGTCAACACTGCCAGGGAGCAGCCATGCTCTCCACAGCAGGTGGGCACCGACTTCACACTTAACCAGCCTCTTTCCATCTGCAATCAATATGTTAACATAGGCTTGACAGGTCCCTGGGCCTAGCTAGCCACAGAGGAAAGAAATCTCTGGCTTTGGGCACTGTGGTGCCACCAAATCCAACTCGGGTTATAGAGGGAGATACAGCTGTCGCCTGTGGGGCTCTGTTCTCCTTTTACTATAGCTGCCCCAGCCACAGTAATTTCTCAATCAAACAAAGGCACTCAGGGGCAGGTGGGCTGTGCTACTGTTCCTGCTGGCTCCCAAGTCTCTCCCAAACCCCATGCTGCGTCTACACTTCTGGACACACCTCAGCCTGGATGGGCACAAGAAATTCAGTGCGACTTTTCTCTAGCTCTGGATGGGGGCTGCAAGCAGACGGTTAAGCTAGGAGCTCCCAGGTTGGTATGTGTGCTCCTCCTTCATGTTTCTCTTTTATACTGACTGCCAGGACTTTGTGGTCTCACTATGTTTAACATTACGTGGTTCCACATCTGTACAAGATCCATTTCTCTGTTCAACTACAAGACTCAAATTTCTGTGACATTTTCCCTTAATTAAAAAATATATACATACACAGAGATATACATAGATACAGTCCATTGTTGTTATGTGTGGTAGTTATGTTCCATGAAGTGACCACAAACACTGAATTAGTAAATACTGTACTATTGTTCCTAGGAGAAATAAATGGTTTGGGTTCCTGTGAGCCTCTGGTCACAATAATTTCATCAACTGATCAATATATAACCTTGTTCTACATGTGTTTCTGTTTAAAGACACCTTAATACATGAGGTACCTCAAGAAGTAGAAAAACAGAATTAAAAGATAATACAAATCTTCCATGAACTTTTTGAAGTATGCTCATATATTGTTGATTCATTAACACTGATCTCATGGCCAATAGCATGAAAACTCATTCCTGAATGAAGCTTTTCTTTTTTTTTTTTTTTTTTTTTTTTTTTTTTTTTTTTTTTTTTTTTCTTTCCCCG